TCTCAACCAAATGACTGCAAAATGCAAATCCAGCCCAACACCTTGATACAACAGCAGGTTTCTTTTTCTTTTTCTTTTTATATATACATTATTTCGCAAATAGTATATGTAATAGTACAGTAAGTTCGAGAATAAAGAAAAGGAGTTTATATAGTTCAGTCCACCCCTAGGGTGGAGCTAGGATTTCTAGGGGTGGACTGAATCCTGCCCATGGATTGATGCCAAATTCACGGGCAGGATGTGGTTTATAGGGGGGCTACTAGTAGATTAGGAGGGGGCTGCGATTCAGATTTCTGAGGTGGATTGCAGTCCACTTATCCCTAAAGAAAATAAGAACAGTATTCAATTGCACACTTCACAAGATTATACAGTGCACTCTTTCTTTTTGTTTTCTTTTATTTGCAACAGTAAACGGTTTCACTCAAAACAAACCAATCGTCCAAAACAATGAAGGGTGGAAGATAACTAGAGAGGTAAGTAGGAGAATTCCAGTTATATAGAAATAGAACAAAGAATTATACTAAGAAATCCAAGTCCACTGATCCCTGCACTAAGCTATCCCTGTTAATGATGGGACTTTATTGATATTGAAAAAAGAATATCATGTAAAATGTACTAACGAGATGCCCTTTTTGTTAGGCTGGTCTTCACCACCTAACCTCTACCTTCATTTCATGTTTATCATTTACATATAACCCCTATTTGTTACCCCCCAAAACATTTGTTCCCTAATGAACCCTTGTCTTGTAAGTGTATCAGCCAAAGCATAGGCCATTACCCAATGCTGGTCCTAGTAATCCATGGTCATGGGAGGGGAAGACTGGATACAAACCTAAACTAACCTCCAGTATTTTTTGCAGGAAGTAATAAAACGACCACTCTATCAAATAAGAACAGATAGAGCTACAAGGAATATAAAATCTTTTTAAGTAAACATAAAACCATTGATAAGGACATGGTATTTGGATTTTGGAAAAGTATATCATACAACCCAAAAAGATACTGTGTTGCTAAATAACACCCTTTTATTGGAAACATTTAGCTGCATTAAAGGAGAAGTTATAAGAATTACAGCTGTCAACCACCCAAAAACAGGGGCCGACCCCACACTTTAGCAAATAGTTAGAATTTAGAAAGCAGCCCAGAACAAATTCTCCCTAAAGCCCCTTGCTTTGCCAAAGTGTTGGCTAGTCCATAAGAGGAAATTGCTAACACCTTATCATCAATCTATAGCTATAATTTTCACATAAGGGGCAATTTCATGGTGCTCTGGAAAAATCTTGGGATAACAAGCATGAAAATGCAGTTTTGAATCGAAGATCAGCCACCTTAGGTCCATATCCAGTGTACCATTCCAAAGACCCCAGATAGCTGAGACCACCATTGGGTAATGGCCCTTCTGTCCTTTTCCACTGCAAAATTCCCATTTTATAAACATGGAAATAGAAAATGCAGATATGTATAAAATTATCAATTCAAAAAACTATTAAAAGATTATCAATAGAATAGATTGGTGAAACAGGATTCATGTAGCCAACCCCATATAGCTGGGATAAGGCATGGATGATGATTAAAAGATTATCAATCTACTACTGAGGGATTCACAGAGAGAAATCATTAATGGATGACTTTGGATCTTGCAAGTAAACAAGTACAGCATGCATGATCAAATGGTTGATCTCCGTTATAAAAAATCTTGCAATGTAGCAAAATATTATACAATGCATCAAGAAAATAACCAGAACGACTTTACAGGATGATGACATCAAAATATTTTAGTAATTCCTGTTTTGGAGGGTGAAGGTGTGGAGGATCACTTACTACACTGTCAATGGAAACACCCAGTATTTCTGTGTTTAACTTCTCAAAATCGGCATATCTATCACTGAAAGCAGTAATCTCTGCAAGCAATGAAGAAAAGGGAAAGGGGTAAAAAGAAAAAGGTAAGTGAGAAAGCATATCACACATTCAATTAGCCTTTTGTGTTTGTGGAACTCACCAGTTGGACATACAAATGTAAAATCCAAAGGATAGAAAAATAGAATCACATATTTCTTCCCAATGTAATCAGACAGCTTCACCTGTAATTGGAAGCCCCTAGTTAGGAATACAATCAAGAATTAATAATAGTACTTAAGTATTTCAATGACAGTTTAAACTTTCTTGTGCCAATCATGTTTCAATTTTTCTGGATTATAAGTTAATTTCAAATGATAATCAAATCAACAATCATGTATGTGTACCACATAATTAGCATGTGTATTATTAAATGATCCAGAATAGTTTTACCTGCATAGCTGTCACACTGTCAAATACCACTTCTGACACCTTGGATCCATAATGATCCATAATGTGAGAGAAACTAAAGAGGATGTAACCTATAGAATTAGAGAAAGGTGGTTGAGGTGGAGAGGTGCATTCACTATGCTGTATGACCCATAGTGAGACTAAAAGGAAAGTTCTATAGGACGCATTAAAACCAGCACTGCTAAATAAATTTAAAAAAAAATAAAATAAATTTTAAAAAAAGTGTTAGGCATTCAAATAAATAACATGTTCAAAAAATGGCAATAATGAACTGAGGATGCTGAGATGGATTAGTGGGCAAGGCAAGAAAGGACAGAATCATAAACAAGCCATTAAAAAGGACTTAAGAGTAACTCCAATTACTGACAGGATGAGGGAAAATCAATAGATGATTTGATCATATGAACAGAACCAATGACTGCACCTGTGAGAAGTAGCTTGCTACAAGTAGAGGGAGAACAATGGAAAGGACTGGTGGAAATCATTTAAGGACTTGCAAAATACAATTTGACAGAAAGCATGGCTCTTGACAAAGCATAGTTGTGTTGTGGGGCAGAAATCCTGTAATTGATCCCAAATGGTTGGGATTAAGGATGAGTTGAATTGAGAAGTCAAAACTGAATTTTAAATTAAAACAACCCAAGAATAAAAGCCTACATGATTGATAGAAAAAAGAATAAAACCCTTGTCAAGTCACTCAAATGCACATAGTTAGGGATAGGAAGGATTTTAGGCGACTAGGGAGATGCACAGTCAGCAGGTAGGATCTGTTTTGAGGGTTCTTTTTGGCAATGTTTGGTTTGAAGGAAAAGTTAGGGAAAGGAAAGGAAAGATGGGGAAACCTACAAGGTTTGTAAAGGTTTCCCTAACTTTCCCTACTTTTTCCTTTAAACCAAGCACAGCCTTTGGATCGAGTTTCAAGATGGAGTGTTGCAAGGGAGGGTTTCAGCTCATCAGAATGTTGCAAGGATTGAAGAGTGGAAAGAGAAAGAGGAGGCAGAGATGGCAGGAAAAGAGAAAGAAGGTTCAAGGGAAGGGAGAGTGTTAAAAAAAGGAGACGGAGATAGGGGGTAGTTGAAAGGGCTGAAGAGGGTAGTCCAGAAGTTGTTTGTGACCACGAGGATGTTGGTAAAGTTGAAGAGAGTGGTGCACTAAGAGACTGGGAGGACTTTTCAAGAACTTTAGTGGTGGTTGATAGGTCACTAGGTTGGGAGTCGATCTGGGTCGGAAAAGAGGAATGTGATTTCAGATGGCTTCACAAGTGAGACAAAAGTGTTGTAGAAAACTCGAGTTGCAAAAAAATTCCAAATGGCTCAGTTTGGCAAGAGTACGAATACAAATATGTACAGTGCAAATACATATAAAGTAATACAAAATATAAGGTTTTGCACGTTACATATTTGTATTTGTACTCCTTCCAAACTAAGCCGATAGTGCATGTTACAAAAAATTTTTCAAGGATAAAAGAGGGTCTAGTCAGGGTGGTCCAACAAACAATTTCAAGAAAGTCTACAAGAAAAAGGGAATGAAATTCAAGGTTCTTATCAAAGAGAAAGTTGAGCAGAGGAGTTCCAAGACTCGAGTGTCAGATGGGGGTGACTCATTCATTAGGGATACCTGAGAAAAAGGTAGAGTTAATTGTTGGGACAGAGGATATTGAAAAGGAGGATGCAGGTTTGGAATAGAAGAAATCTGATCAGGTTATTCCAGACTGCAAGGGAGAAAAGGGAGGTTCTGTGAAGATTGAGAGTTAAGCTGCTAGAGATGTCAAAGTCAGCAACAGCTTATGTTTGTTCTTTTGGGGTGGTGAAGAGCTTGCTAAATGTGCATTTGAAGCTTTCAAAAGGAGTAAGAAGGAGAGGCTAAAGAAGTTCATAGTAGGAGTAGAGGCATGAAATGAGGAAGGAGACAGACAGGAAGAAGTGTTTGAAGTAGAAGATTAAAGTTTAAAGTGTCAGGGAGCTGGCATTGCGCTTCTTCTGTGAGGCTGTGGTTCTGGAAAAGGAGTTGAGGTTTATCTGGAAGATCTTTGAAGTGTGCGTTCTCTCTTTATTTTATTTGCTTTATGATCTGATGTAATTGGATAGTGTTGCTCCAGGTGTTGTCTTAACACCTTCTGTCAATTGTATTCAGCTTTTTATTGCAATGATGTTTCTTTTCAAAACAAAGGAATAGGGATGAAAATGGGACGGGGTTCGGGGAGTGTTTCATAAATTTTGGACCCTACCCACCTTCTTAGGTCTCCGAACCCATACCCTCCCCCAAACCTGTAACAGGTTGGATTTTCATAATCCAAACCCTTCCCGCATGTGAAAATGCAACCCCCCTCCCCCGTGACCGTATCCTCCCCACATTTGAGGGTGGGGTGGATCGGATTGGCAGGTTAGGTCTAGAACCAGCATCTAATTCCCATTATTTCCTATTATATATAAGCAATAAACAAATAAAATAACATTAAAAAATCAAATTTTCCGATCATTTGATTAAAACATGTAGAAAACTCAAATTAATAATCATTCTTCACATAAAATTCAAAATATTATTAAACATAACACCTAACGCATAAGTTCATATGCCTTCCAACAATATGCAGGTCGGGGAGTGTTTCATAAATTCTGGACCCTACGCACCTTCTTAGGTCTCCGAACCCATACCCTCCCCCAAACCTGTAACAGGTTGGATTTTCATAATCCAAACCCTTCCCGCATGTGAAAATGCAACCCCCCTCCCCCGTGACCGTATCCTCCCCGCATTTGAGGGTGGGGTGGATCGGATTGGCAGGTTAGGTCTAGAACCAGCATCTAATTCCCATTATTTCCTATTATATATAAGCAATAAACAAATAAAATAACATTAAAAAAATCAAATTTTCCAATCATTTGATTAAAACATGTAGAAAACTCAAATTAATAATCATTCTTCACATAAAATTCAAAATATTATTAAACATAACACCTAACGCATAAGTTCATATGCCTTCCAACAATATGCAGGTCAGGGAGGGTCAGGTTTAGCCTAATACCATACCCTACCCATACCCGTACAGGTTATAAAATCCTAAAACCCGTCCCCACCCCAAAATCCCTTTTTCAAGTAAAAAAACACGCCACGATGGGACAGGTAGGGGTGAGTACCCACCAGGCAGGGTAGAAACTTCCATCCCTAACTAGGAAGATGATCATTGCAGGTTGTTGTACCAAGAAGAGCCTTGGTCAACTCCAATCATTTGCTCCTAGAACATACCTTGATGAATTCCTGGTCAAAGACTGCTTCTGCTTCAAAATCAGGTGCTGCATTTCCAACCAATGGAAGTTCACTCTGTGCAAAAAAATAGTGGAGGCAAAGCATATATTAACTAAAGCATATCAAGGACAGAAATAAATGAGGCGAAAAAAGTGAACTTGTAAAACATAAAGGAAAATTACAGACATAGATGTAAATAATAAATACCTAAAGCATTTATTAAATGCCTGTCATAATGAACATGCATCTACAGATATGAAGATGTTTTTTCACTTATTTGTTCTTTCTGGGCATATATAGAACTTAGTGCAGAATTTTGGCTCTCAAAAAGATCCCCTTTATGAACCCTTTTACTCCGAGGAGATTGGGAAACACATACCAAGGACTAAACATTCTTTTATCAAAAAATAAAGAAGAAACGTGTCAACATCTTTCGCTCAACAATTTTGGACTCCAAGATATGAAAAGCATAAGGCAAACAGTGGAAGTTGCTCAAATGGCATATCTGCTAAAAATACATTGTTTGAGTTGACTAAATACTTGTTACAAGGAACAACTTATGAGTACTAAATACTAAAGTCCCGTCACAAAACATCCAACATTGATCCTGATAAAGGTGAGCCCACAAAAACCATCACACAGGGCCAAAGGGTTTAGGGAAGGCCCATGGAAACAGTCTTTCATGCTTATGGAAATACAATTCGTCTTTAGATATTGCAATCATGTCTTAAGACATATCTCCATTCTCCGAGGATTGGAATGGAATTCCTGATAAGTTAGCTTGGTAGAGGGTTAATCAGGATGGAATGTATGGCTAGTCAACATTGCTATGAAGTGCTTTCTATGGCTGTTACATTTGTACAGCTTCAGACAGTCCCGTGTTTTTGTTTGGTTTCTAATGTATCATCTCTTTTTAATATCTCTTACTTTGTTACTTCGATACAAACTTTAATTGTCACCGCTCACCATTAAAACAATAATAGCAATACTAATAATAACAAAAGCACAGTCCATTTAAGGCATTAATAACAAGACATAGAAAGAATAACATAAGAACTCAAAGATGCGAGTTACACAAAGTCTTCAAACATTTTCTTGAACTTTGATTGAACAACCAAATGCAATTTTTGTTCACTGGAAGGTCATCATTTCTTCAAAAGATGGTTTTCCTCCTGATGTATGGCACCAATTAATACCCAAGGAAATCAAGAAAGTAGAAAAATCTACTTGATATAGAAAGGATTAAAGGAATCATCCAAACGAGTAAATCTTAATCACAAAATTTCAACTAGAAAGTAGTACCAAACTTGATGACAGAAAAATGAAAGTTGATCATATTCAATGTTCGTTTAAGGGAAGATCAGGACCTTTTCAAAATATGGCTCTTCTTCTCCTTATTTATGGCATTAACCATTAAGTACTACCCAAGAAAATCATGAAAGTAGAAAATCATATTTGATATAAGAAGAAATCATCCAAACATGTAATTCCAAGCACAGACGGAACTGTGATAGTGACAACATATTCACTGGAGTTTGAAAAACATCAATTCAGCATGAATAAAGAACATTGAAAACGATAATATAAGAGGATACGCATTTTAACATGGAACGATAATAGGTAGTCCATCTTCACTTAAGTTCCTTACAATCTAGTTCATCACCGCAAAGGCAAAATTAAAAGCGTAAATCCCAATAGAACGCACATTATGAGTTTATGACATAGAATAGTAATAATTAATTCATCCTCATCTGAGTTCCAAAATAGCCTTCAACCAAGCCAGATTTCCCAGAACACAGTAGACTTGCAACAAAATAAAAATTAACCAAAACTAGAAACCGCAAGATTGTCTTACAGAAGCATTGACAACGAAACTCCTCCTTGAAGAAGAACTTCGAGTAGAGATTGGTCGAGACGCGCGAGACTGGAAGGGTTTCCTGAGACCGTTGAAGCTCTTAGGAATTGTTAGGCTCTGCCTCTGGGCGAACGGCTTCGATGGAGAAATAGATGCCAGGGGCATCTCAGATTTGCAGGAGAAGGCGCTAGGTTTGGAAGAGAGAATAGCAGGAGCTGAGCAGGCCATGGCGTCTATCGCAACTCTCCCTCTAGTCTCAGCTAACACACTTTCTCACAGTCCCTTTGATGGAGAAAAGATAGACGAGTGGATAAGTAGAGAGTTCGGACATCGGACCCGTTTAAATATCAGAGAACCGGCTCCACAGATTTTGGACAGCCGAAATTCAGGTGAGGTACCGAGGGTATTATCGTCATCAAAATATTTGAAATGTTCTAGAGGAATCTAAGGGCCCTACCATTCCTGCATTCCGCAATCCGCTGGATGCTTATAGTTACAGCTTACTGCTTACGGGGGCACTCTTCACACCAACCTCACAGAGCGCCTACATGCACATTCCACAAATTGCTTGGAGATTTCTTAGATGAACAATACAAATTATCTGAAAGAATGATAATTTCTTCCCTTAGTCTATCCGCTCATCTAACTCGTTTTTCTGGAAATCCACTACCTCAAATTTGTTAGATTTGTCTCATTAAGTGGGGTTCTTAGTTTTCATGAATTCTAGCCAAAAAAAATTGATCAAGTTCCTTGGATTCAAAGGACTATGTCTCAAATGCTATAGCAGTTGTTCCATCAAGTATTCGAAATCTGTCATCCTTGGATGTGATTTTTCAGGATTGCTGGAACATGACTCTTCTTGCCTAGGGGTGTCCACGGTTCGGTTAATCGAGCCCTGGACAATTGTTTCAAATTGAATCGGTATTATTGGTTAATCGGTCCATTGGTTTTGGTTTTTCAGTTTTTTATATTTATAATATCTACTATATAAACATATGTATAATATTATGTTATAAATAATAAACGATATATAATATATTTATAAATAAATTATTATAAATATAATATATGCATATTTATATAATATATAAAAAATATGTGACATATATTAAAAATAATATATATATATATCGATCAATTCGATTAACCACCGGTTCTTTTCTAAATTAACAAATGCTATGGACCTGCGAATAGGATCTCGTCATGGGTCGGTCCACGGGGGAAACCCTCTCTTTTTCCTTGTTCCTCCATGCTCTTGATGAACCTATCTAGGTGCCCTAATGGTGATTTGTTCAAAATATCACTTAACTCTCATTTATTCTCTTTCTTGATTGAATATTCGATATCCTCATTCAATAATGGTGTCTCCTTAAATAGGAGATTACAAGAGTCATAATCTTAGGGAGTCTCCTTGCTGAATAGGGAGACAATTCTATCTTGCTAAGGATAAGATAAGCTAATCCTAATCTGATAATAAGATAAACTAATCATAATCTGATAACAAGATAAACTAATCCTAATATGATAATAATATAAACTAATCCTAATCTGATAACTTACTAACAAGATAAGATAAGAGCAATAGAATAAGATAAGAACAAACAATATGATCTAATCTAATCTAGCGGTGGGTCAGGTTCCTGTTGCTGCCGGCGGCGATGGTACATCTTTTCGAGGAATGCGTTCATAACAACAAATGGAAACCAAACCAATCAATTCGGTTTTCTTGATTTAATTCAATTTTTCGATTTTTTGTGGACTCCCCTATTCTTGCCCAACACAGAGGCCATCATCAACTCAAGGACATTGTAAATACTTTCATTTTGCCATAATAAGAAAACTCAAAGTCTTGGGTGTGGACACCTCATCCTTCAGGGAATCTTGCCACAAAACAGGCCTACTCACTCCTTCCTTCCCAAGAACACCAAATGATAATTTTAAACTGTCTTAAATGGATCTGGAATCTCCCGATAGCTCCTCACTACCAAATGTTCATATGGGGGAATTCAAAATCTCATCCCAATCAGGAATCATGTGTTGGACTCTTTTCAAGACTGAAGTTGTGTCATTGTGTGGTCTGTAATAACAATGAGGAGGGAACTATTAAGCATCTGTTCTTAGATTGTCCTCACACCCAGGTTGTGCTTTTTGCAGCTCATTGGAACATAAATATAAATGTTATTTTTCAATCTGCTTGGCTAGATTGCATCTGTGAGCTAATAAGAACTCCCCCTGATAAAATGACAATAACCCAAGTTTTAACTTGGTATGCCATAGCCTTGTATCATATCTGGTTTACCCGGAATAAAAAGTATTTCAAAGACAAACAAATTCCCATCCATTGGTTGATTGCATGTATTAACAATTTATTCGCTCAGACTATGTTCCCACATGAGGTAACTCCAAACCCAATTGCCTTTGAGAGCATATTATCCCTCACAGTCCAGGCTAATATTAACTTCATTATATTTGTCAATGTTGGATCCATTGATCACTGAGGGTCTATTTGGTTCGTAATTGGAATCAGAATCGAAATCTTCTAAAATCAGAATCAGAATGGTCCATTCCCATAGTCTATTTGGTTTAGACAGTAATTGGAATGATAATTAAAATCAGCAGAAATGGGATTTCATTCCCAAGGGAGGAGCAAGGAATGGCCATTCCCTCAAATGAGAGAATACCATTCCAGTAAGAATGGGAATGAGATTCCAATTCCGTCCAACTAAACAATTGGAATTAGAATAAGCTATTTTGATTCCGATAACAGACCCCTATTCCTGTAAAACAAACGAACCCTGAATTCTCTTTTGAAGCAATATGATTATCACACAGCTTATCTTGTTTACGAGTCATAGGTGGTAAAGTTAAACTTAATTCAATTGAAGAAGTTGAGTTATATGCTATATTGTAAGGAGTTCAACAGGCTACCCAGATGATGAAAGTCAGCCTCCTTATGTGCTCAAATTCCCAGTAAGTGATAAGGGTTCTACAGAACAAAGCATCTCTCCATTGGTCGTGCTGTGGACTTTTGTCAACGAGCTAGCCTCTTGTCTTTCTATGGCGTTTTGTCATGTACATAGAAACTTTAATACCGTAGCTCACCATGTGGCTTAGATAGCCAAAGATTATTCCCAGTGGCTCTAATAATCTTTTTTTTTTTTTTTTTTGCTCTGATCAATACATAGCTAATCTGAGGTAGGGCTGCAACTTGAACCCTACTTGGAGAAAAAATGGGAATTTTATGGTTTATTTCCCCTTAAAAATTTGTATTAGTTTTCTAATCTAAAATAAAAATGCAATTAATAAACGAAATATCTAAGATACAGTGCTCCACCTAAAAAGCAGCTTATATGGCTCTATAGCTATCAAGAGTCATGTATCCTATCACCTTTTTAAAAATAAAATCTAAAAATCTAAAAAATAAATGAATTCAAAAGGGAGAAGAGTGGAGAAAGATGCTGACTTGACATAATGGGAGAGGTGGGAAGGGGAAAGGAGAAAGAGTTTAGGAGAACTTAGAAAAGGAGGTCTTGGAGAAAGGAGAGGCATGTTGGACATAGACTGATTTACTTTATATGTATCATATAGATGTATGTATGCATGTAACATGTATGAATACATGCAATTATGCATCCATAAGTATATATAATTATCTATACTACTTATAAAAGTGTGAATGATGAGGTATTGGCTTCTGGATTTTTTTTACTAAAATACCCCTCCTATTGAATTTAGTTCATCTCCATTAAAAGGGCATAGAATGTAATTAAAAGAATACCATTCAGTACAATCAATTATGTCTCATTAAGTCTCACATTTAAGTCATTAAGTAAATCTCATTCTCTCTCATTGAATTCAACATTTATATTTTTTGTTTATCATCATTAAATTCCACTAGTAAATCCATACACAATAATTATTAGGGAAATTGTCTAAAACTCACTATAAGTTTTCAACATTTCTCTTAAACTCATAACTTTTCAAAATGTCTAAAACTCACCATGTCACTAACTTGATGTTAAACAGACTAATGGGTGTTAATATATTACCATTTCAACCTTCATAGAAAAATATAAAATATATACAACATAAATTAACGAGTGTTAATATATTACAATTTTAATATTTACACATGAAAAAAAAAGGAAAAAGTTCAAAAAATATTTTCAAATATAAAATACATAAAAACATAAAAATACAAAAAATATAAAAATATATAGAAATTTCAAACAAAATAAAAAAATTATTTTCAAATTATAGAAACTATAGAAATTGAAAAAAAAAACAGAAAATAAAAATTGTAGAAAAAACACAGAAATTACAACTAAATAACAAAAAATACAAAAAAAAATTATAGATTGTAGAAAATAAAACATATAAAAAAACAGAAATTATAAAAAAAATTGAAAATTATGACAAAACACTAAAAATGCAAAAAAAAAAGAATTGAAAACTGAAAAGACCATTTCCTCTAACTCGTCGCCATTCAAGGGTAATTTGGTCATGAAAATTGTTATTTATGCTAACATGGACACCTCTGTTAAGAAGCATTAACGGTGCACTAATGGAAGCTGAGTTTTGGAAAATAAAAACTAACTGACATGGTGAGTTTTAAACATTTTGAAAAGTTGTGGTGAGTTTAAGGGAAATGTTGAAAACTCATGGTGAGTTTTAGACAATTTCCCTAATTATTAATAGAATGAAATTTTATATTTTTAAAATCAACATAGAAATGAAATCATATTTTTCATCTAAGTGGTGGGTAAGTAGTTCAACCATTTGGGTCAAATGGATAATTTCATGATGTCATAAATAAATAATACAAATTTAGAAATATAAAAAATACTTTTATTTATCATCATTAAATTCCACTAATAAATCCGTACACAATAATTACTAATAGAATGAAATTTTATATTTAAAAAAAACTATAAATGAAATCATATTTTCCATCTAGGTCGTGGGTAAGTAATTCAACCATTTGGGTCAAATGGATAATTTCATGATGTCATAAATAAATAATACAAATTTAGAAATTAAGAAATACAAAAAATATAGAAAAAAAATAAATTTTGAAAAAAAAATGCACATGTTTCTATTATTATATATTTGTCATATTAAAAAAATAACTATGATAAAATAGACATAATTTTATTAATGATAGACATCAAATATATAACTTAAAACCAATGGGAAATTAAACCATCTTCCTATCTAGGGGTGGGTTAGTGGTTCAACCTTTCAAATCAAATAGGTTATCCCATGATGTATAATTAAAAATAATTTTTTTAAAATAGAAAGTACAAAAAAATATGAAACA